CCAGCTATGGAATGATATGTTATACTAGCAGGTGAACCTCAGTCTTTAAAACTCCCGTGTGCCTCTCTCATTGTCTCTTTCATGATGTCATCCATGTTTACCCAAGGAATTGTTCCATCCTTTGCATTGAGGGTAGATCCAGGTTTTGAGAGATTTGAGATTTAAACATTTGTAGAAAAGCTCTATTATAGTTCTGATCTGAAATGTTTCCCAAAGGGCCATGAGTTAAAGACTCCATCCCTTGACCATGACACTCCAAGGAAGGGGCAGAACTTGTAGGAGGCGGGGCTACTGGAGAGGAGGTAGATTACTGGACAGATGGCTTGGACAGGGTACGGAATGCTGGCTATTTTTTCTTTTTGATTCTGGGCATCCATGAAGTTACCAGATCTCTCAAGGATGTGTACCAGATACACATCCTTACCGTGATGTATAGAGCTGCTTAGGCCCTTAATCACAGACTGAAGTAACAGGGCCTTAATCACAGACTGAAGTAACAGGGCCTAGTAATCACAGACTGAAGTAGCCAAAATTTAACCTTTTCCTTTATTAAGTTAAAGTTTTCAGGCATTTTGTTACAGACATGGAAACCTGACTAACAGGCTCCTAAGGAAAATGAACATAAAACTACGTACTGAAAATTAAAAGCAAAGTACAGGAAGAAGGGTATAAAAACTGAAGGAGCTTAAAGTTTAAACTTCATGAATTTCATGGTGAGTTTATTTTGATTTCACTTAATGTCCGGATAGTACAATGATGTGTATATAATAAGCAACCTATTGCCTATTATTTTTTTCTACTCCTAAATAATAAATAATCCTTGAGAAGGTTAAGAATATAAACTACTACTAATACCTCACGGAACTCATGTTACACAATAGCTTTATGTATACAAATGTGTAATTTACTTGCTATTTCCTTCTTCACAGAAGAAACTCTCAGATGGATAAATGTCATTTCTGATCCTATCTGTAGATCTAGACAGCACACCCTATCCCCCTAAGTAACACAGTGACACGTGAGCCATACTCGTTGAGTTCTGAGAAAGGAAAGTTCTGTTGTTCTCCATGAAGGCTAGCAGGTCTAATTTGCTCTTTGCTTTTGGATGATACGACGTGAGGTAGGAGCCACTGTAATCACTTTGCTACTAAATGGAGTATCCTAAAGGGCTATTATTGGATGAGGAGTATGAGTCACAAAAGCTGAAACCAGAGAAGAACAATGGGAAGAAGAAGGTCTTTGGGGCTGTTATCTGAACCACTGCAGCAAGATTTCCTGAAAACCAAACTACCTTCTACATTTTTCAGTTTTAAGAATCATAGCATTGATTTACTGTTCAAACCAATTTGAGCTGAGTTTTGTGGAACTTTCACTCAAAAGGTGCTAGTACAACACAAAATTTCATGGTGCCAGCATAACATCGTAGTGTAAAGAAAAAAATATTCAATTTCAATTATTATATATTCTACAGATTCTTAATTCTTTATATATCCAAGAATATAAAATTATTTGGGGCTCCAAATGTTAACTGAAATAACCAATGCTACAAATGATTTATTGTTAGCATCAGGACTCCCAATCTTTGTTTAGAAACAACTGCTTTTGTTGCTAAAAATCTTAAGATTAATTCTGGTTCACAGTAGGGGATTATTCTAACTCTTCCTTGATCTTTTGAAATGTAACAAATTCTCTGTTAAAACCTTCATAGGAAGTACTGATTATACGTAACAGGAATTTTACATACCTCTGACAAGGCATCTCTTCAATAATACTGTGCTACAGTAGGTTTTTTTCAAATGTCATTTTTCCCATTAGGCATACAATAAGATATATTCTCATACATTAAAATCTTGTTTATTAATCGTTTATACAAATAGTCTTGGGTTTCTAGACCATTTATAAGAAGCTCCTATTAAGAAATCCAATGAAGCATGGGAATAATGCAAGAGTAATTTATTAACATATCAAGAGACTTTAATTTGCTACCATTTTCCTATCATGTTAATGTGACAGAGTATGAAGAACAAATGACTAAAGCATGGAATACAGTAGAAGGGGAAGTAAAAGCTTTCTATCTTTTACGAGCTTGTGAATTCAACTGTTCATAACTGAAGGATTCCATGTTTGCAAAAGTATAGTTTGTGTTTATGTTGCCTAATTTATTTAGGCTCCCTCTGGTTATACCTCTATATTTATTTAACACTATATAAAGTTAGAAAACCATATGTGAGTCATGAAAGGAGAACCTCTGCAAAAGGAAATACATATCAAGCAAATAAGCTCAGGAAACTTGAAGAGTATTTACATCTTCCAGCTACTTTACTAACTTCCTACTCTAATTGATCCAATCTTTTCTATATGAATAAACTAAAAACGTTTTATTACTAGCAAATATTTTACCAGATGTCTTCTATAATCTGTATAATCATAATGAGTGCCATCTTTGCTTTGGTTGATTTAGTGCTTCAGGAACACTGGAGTTCAAATGTCTCAGTAGTTGTGCCTGCCCAGAAGGCCAGTGTGGTACAGTCCCCGGTGTGCCTATGTTTTCAAGGCTGGCCTCACGCTCGGTTAACTTAAGTGCTCACCTTTGCTTAGGACTGAATTCCTTCCAAGACGCTGTAAATATGTTTTGTTCACCACTGTGCTGTTTCTATCCAGTATGGAAGTATGGAAAGCATCTTGGCAGACAGTGAGTGTGTGGTACTTGTTGACTGAATAACTGAATAACTGAATAAATAACTGGAGGCAAGAAATACTGGTGTGTAAGTTTCCTATCACTATGATAATGTAGCTGGACTTCAAAGCAAGTGAACCTCTTTATTTCAAAAAAACTGAGCAGCCAGAGTAGTCACCAGTTTATGAAGTTGTAATATGGTGTTTCATGTTTCTTGAGAACCAATTCTATAAATTTTCATTATATGCATATATGTAAATATGTGCTTATATATGTGTACACATATTCACCCATTTTATACTGTTTAACATACTACAGCTCTTCAGCTAATGTTCCACAAAACACATACACACAAAAAAATTGAGGGTGGGGATCAGAAATCAAACTGAAGACCTTGTGTTTGCTAGGCAGGCACTGTGCTTGCTATATTCCTGGTCCCAGACAAGATTTTTTTTAAAGAACTAGTGTAATAGTTTTCATCCTCACACTGATGAATTCATTGGGTTTTGTTTTAAACCCAAAGATCACACCTCAGTCTCATCAAGTCATGCTCAAAATGTGGATTATGTAAGCATGCTAACATAATATATATGTGGTACCACATGATCGCTCATATCGGCCTCCATCATGATTCACACTTCTCAGAAACACTCAGCATTAGCGAAGACTGATGTGCCAGACACTGTGCCTGGTTCTTTCACCTCTTTGACTCCTCACAAAATTACAAATATTATTCCCATCACACAAGAGAAAGTGAGGCCAAGAGAGAGTAAACAACTTTGTCTAACACCCTACCGCTGAGAAGTGATGGAATTCGAATTTGAACCTAGCCAGTCTAGCTTCAGAGTTCTTGTTCTTAATCACTGTTATACCTTGTTTAGAGAGATAATACCTGATCTTACAGAGATAATACCTTTCATAATTTGTGGAAGTGTTCTTGTTATCTAGATAATACGCGAGCAGGTCTCATGAATTATAATGTTTCTCTGTACCTGAATCTGAATAATTACTGGCACAAGTAAATGGTTTAATATTTTTGTTCAGTTGATTTGTACTAGAAAAACCACTATATTTGCAAGTATATGAGAATTCAAAAGCTAACACTTTTTAAAACTAGCTGTGAGAACCTTAAAATGTTGGCTAACTGATAATTTATGTCCCTTTAGTATTCGTAATACCACGACTAAAATTAGAAAGAGCTACTAATTAGAATTTGATAAGCAAGTTATGTAAAATAAAAGAGCTACAGAGTGAATGACATATTAGAATATCAAAAAATTAGTAACAGCCTTCAAAAACTGACCAGGAAATATTTCATGTGTAATAATAATAACTAATATGCTCATGAAATATTTGTATACGCCACAAACTATGTGAGTTTTTTTTTGTTTTTTTTTTACTAGGAATTGAACTCAGAACCTTGCACTTACCGGCAATGTTAGGTTCTTTAAATGTACGTGGCCCTTGACCATAACAAGTATTGTTATTCTTATGTTACATATGGGTTAAGAGAAATTGGCTGTAGGTAATACAGCTAGCATGGCAGAATACAGAATTTCAATGTGGACAGACCTAGCTTTCAAAGACAAGAGAAGTGGCTGGCGAAGGTATGCTGAGTTAAAAGCCATCTAGGGGATTAATTTTAAATTGGCTGCAATGATGCTTGCCTGACTCAAAGGACTGATACAGCCTTGTTCATGAACTCCTTACATTTTCTCCAGAAAACCACACATATGCACATATGCCTTTTAACCTTCTATGGATTCCTAAATCAGATAATAAAGTCTGGTAGAAAACAGAGGTAATTATAGAGACTTTCTTGTGAGTCCCTAAGGTCACTATATAGTTGAGACTAAAACACACCACATCACACACACAATTTAGAGGCTATCACCTTTTTGGCTTAAGGTAGTTCTTAGTTCTTTACTACATTTCAAGTAGTTTACTGTCCTATTTAAATTCCCTCTTGACAAAGAGGTGAACTACCCCTACATTTGATTTTTATTTCTTATTTTATTATGTTTCCTTTTCTTACCATTTTTAAAGGCCATATCTCTTGTATCAAAACAGACCCTTGACTTTCTTTTGATCTCTTTTTCTTTTCAGTATTAAACTTCCTATGTATCTCTTAAGACTAGATATTTAAAAGGGGTGTGTGTGTGTGTTTGTGTGTGTGTGTTATAGACAAAAATAATATGCCTCATTACATGCTACAGCACAGAAAAGATCCATCATCTCATTTTGTGCTAATTTTACATTTCTTACATGACCTTTAAACTACAGTCTTGTGGAGAAAGCTGCCTTCTATTTATTTACAAGTTACCTTTGACAAATCCCTGAAGTTTCCTGGAAGAGTCAGGTCCAGTTCTTCTGATTCATAGTTTGTTAACACCCAGGGAAACACGGGATATTGGTTCAGATCATTATATGTCCGTCCTAGTAGGGAAAAACAGATACAAATGTTTGTACACACTAATTGTTTACGAAGTAAGTTCTAGCCTATAAAACATAATTCAACTGCTGCATTTCAGAAGAATAACTTCTAGGATCCCTGGCTGACAGAAATCTGCTTCTGTTACTGTAACATTATCCTTGCTACAGTCAGCAGAAGACAGGCAAAGTGTTAGGTGAAGTTTCAGAGAACTGGGCTTCTGAGTGTGTGTCCCTTTGCTCACATTCTGTAGAGTTAGGTACTGTAAGCATTGAACCAAATTAATTTATGTAACAAATCTTTTATTGGTTAGCTTTATCTGTATATTATTTGAAACTCTGTGTAATTACAACAAACCTCCATATTGTTTTGCATGTGTAAGATGATGTGGGTGTGTGTTGTATATGGATACGTATACAATATATTACGAAGGAACAAAATGTACTGTATACAATATTGCTTCCACTTTGCACTTACAGAGAAGAGGGGAGAATCTGGTTAGGGCTTCCCTTTGTTCTCCCACCATAACATTCAGACAGACTCCTAGTTATATCTAATACATGTCATGGCTTACTGGTCTCCTCTTTACTTACGGATGCACATATTGAACCATTTTGCTTTTTAAAAAAAATCTGTGTGTGTTGTATACACTATCAAGAAATGTTTGTTGACATAATGAATACACAAATGATAAAATGGAGTAAAATTAGCCAGATTTTAAAAGATGAACAAACATAAGCTAAGTAAAAAAGAATCACACAATATTCTCTGTACAGGGTGAGGACTTTGCAAAGGCATTGGAGTGTGTGTAAGAACAGCACTGGGAATATATATGCTAACCTAGGAAAATGTTGCAGTCAGTTGAAATCTATCTAAATTCATATTTTTCTTACTAGCACTATTACTATACCTAATTCTTACTCAGACTGTAGCTCTCTTAGTTACATTTACAAATTGCTACAGGAATCGGCATCATTTCCTGATGATGAACAATATAATGTTTGCATCTATGCTATGTTATGGTATATGTGGTGTACCAAGAGTTGGAGTTCTTTTGTGAATGAAAAATGTACTGCTTGAGTACTACCATTGTTTTAAAATATAAGTTGTAAAATTCTAAACTTCAAATTTGATTACTGATGGTTCATATACACGCTAACCTGGGACACCTGGTTATTTTTATTATTTATTTATATGTTAATATATCCATAGAGGATAAATTGGTTAGGCAGAGGTATTTCTAGGATTCTAAGTGGGACCTGGAAAATTTATTTCTCTGCCATTTTCTTGGGAACTGATCTACTTAAAAATCTGTAAATTTAATAATAAAATCGACCTGTCAGTATATTTGTCATTTTCTAGAATAATGTCGTTACCATATATATGAAATGATACATGAAAATTAGATTTTACTTTGTTTTTAAAATTTGTATGATGTTTTATAACATATCATAAGATATGCCTGTCAAAATAAAACAAATTTAAAAACCAATTTATAACTATTTAAGTATTTGTATAGAATGCAAGTAATATAAAATAGATACCATATTTGATAGTCATTTAATAAAAATAAGCTACTAATAAAAAAAGTTACCATTTTTGAGCAAAAATACAAAGGAAGAAAAGCATCATTTTTAAAACACACATTCACCAAAAAATACACTCATACAAGATATTATGCTTATAGTCCTAATTCATGACTATCTGTCCTGCCTTGTTGAAAGTCACTTTTAATAATATTTGAAGTATTCTCTAAAAGTAAATGCTAAGGAGATTTTAATATTTAAATTATTAGAGTTTTTACAGCATCATTTAAACTGGAATAAACTTAATAAATGTAATTATAACCTGTTTTTAATAAAAATTTCCACAAAGGTCTAACAGGATGTCAGTATATATTTTTATTTAAATTTAAACTTCACAGTGTATTTAATGTCACGTGAAAGAAAAAGATTGATTAAGTAGTACTCTGGGGTTTTACATTCATAAGTTTTGATGAATTAGCATTATTCTTTTATTTTAGTAAACACTTTTTTGAATAAAAGTTGGTTTATTAAATTGTTCAAAAAGTAAAATTATTTCCAAGTAGTATCTTTTAGGTTCTGGCATATCTAAATATTTATTTAGCAACTGATTTCTTTTCTTTTTTGAGGATTGTTGATATTTAATAAATACACTTGTTCTGTAATCACTAGTCTTTCCTTTCCTACTAGTGATAAATACAGTACTTACATATATGCTAAATATATATAGCGATGTATATATATACAATATATAAAACCACATGGATGAGGGCTTTCCTAGAAGGTGAATATTAAGTATTGCAAGCCTATGACACTAATCTACTCAAACAATAAAAGTGAAGCACAGTAAATGAGATCTCAGAAGCAGTGGATGTTTCTTCATTTAAAAAAAAACTTTTTAATTAAACCATCCAATTTAATATTCTTATATGGCGCTTTAGTTTTGAAGGTAAAGTGATCTAGAGACAGCTGACAAAGAAATTATAACTTCAATTCCTTGGTGAAAATGTTAATGACAGCAAAATATTGTTTAATTAGATGATTGCAGCATCTGGATTAACACGCTTTAAGAGCGATGTTCCTGTGCTTGTCTGCTTCTTCACACTTTACAGACATTTTGTCATCTCTAGGTCATTAGGAAAGAATTTTTAATGATTTTTCTAGAAGCAAGCAGTTCAAGTTACATCTAATTAGATGACAATAATAAGCCCAACACATGCAGTAGCTAAATATATACATAATTAACTAGGGAGCGCTTGTTCATCACAGAGTAAAAAAGTGGAAAATGCTAAACAGGAGAAAAAGGTTGGGGTTGGGGAAGTTGTGCTGAATTCATTAGCTGATCATATGAAAACCATTCAAAAACCTTAAAAAATTCTCAAGTCTAACAGGATCCTTTATTCAAATCTATGTTAGCTAGCAATCACTCCAGGGTATTTTTTTTTAATAAATTCAAGAACGCCAAATTGTGACATCTTTCTCCTACTATTATTTAATAAGGTATAAAATTGAGGCATAGGGTTGTATCTTTCAGAACATGGTCAACAGAAATCAGGTCAAGTATGAGAATTAAAGGTTGAAATTACATTTTTAGTTGAATTCTAAGTATCATTAAACTTCTTTCATATAATCTTCCAAACTTCAATGTTCTGTGAAAAAACTCAAGTATTTAAAAAATCAGTTAATACATGATGCCTTGTTTCAAATTAGACTCTCGTACACTTTTAAAGACCAAGCCTTCAGAGGGTATTTTATGAAGTGGAAAAAGTAGATTCTGTATGTGTAGCTAATTCCCAATGATAACCCACAGAAAGGGAAAAACAGAAAAATAGTCAAAATGTCAAATGGAATGCTTATGGCTAGGCTTACAATTTTTCAAATTATACCTTTCCACATTCCTAGCTGTCCAAGTGAATATTTCTTAAACTTACTTAATACAATAAGGGAAAAATATGATTCACAAACTCATTTACAGGTTTTTATGTGAATATCTTTTAACAATATGGCTGTGAATATTTCATAAGCTTTTTACTATAGAGAGGAAAATTTGTATTTATATATATACTATATATTTATAGTATATATTTATATGTATAAATATATATAGTATATATACTACATATTTTTATATATATTATATAGTATTTACATTTATATATATATACTATACAAAGGAAAATGTGCTATTATGTACATATGTGTGTCCTTATACAAGCCACACACACACACACACATACACACTATATATATATAAATATATATATATATATATATATATATATAGAGAGAGAGAGAGAGAGAGAGAGAGAGAGAAAGAGAGAGGGAGAGAGTCAAAATATGCATTAGCATCAGAACACTGCTGCCATATGTTTTATAGAGTTGTTTTTAACGCGTCTGAAAGGAAAAAAGTAAAATGTGAGAGAAACTAAGGGAAAGAGAGTAAGATATAACTCATAAAATGTACTTTGTATTTCACATTAAAATAATATTGGGGGAGAAAGATAAATCTGAGAATATAAGACAGTGATCAAAATATAAACCAAAAATGTGAACTCTATTAAGTGGTATTGACCTAAACTTTTTACAGTATGAAGACAGAAAAGATTGTTTCATCTTTTCAATCAAATTCTAATTCTGCAACTATTCTTTTTAATACTGGAGGTTTCAAAAATCCTTAATTCAGCAATTCCAGTAAATGTTCACAGTAAATGACACAAATCATGCAAACCCTTACAAAGCATAAACATTAAATCAGTTTAATTTCATTAATATTCACTGAGCAAAATTGCTTTTCCTTTTAGTAACCTGATAATCTCATTGTGAAGATGAGATATAGACATACTATGATAAGGAGACAGTCTTACGTGTTAAAATATGTAGCAAAGACAGTGCTGTATAAGACTCACAAAGTTATGTGTGGAAATGTTTTTCAAAGAATACAGGTAAGGAGGAGCCATGCCCAAAGTGCGATCCTGGATCAGGGGCAATAGCATCAAGTAAATACTTGCACAGAAATGCCAATTCTTGTGTCTCACCCCAAAGCTAATGAGTCAGAACTTGCAGAGGCCCAAAGATCTGTGTTTTCACAAGTCTGACTCCAATGTGCTTAAGTCTGAGGAATAGGAAGAGTGGCTGCTGGGAGCACTGATGGCCGGGATGGTCAGCCGAGTCTCTCTCTGCAAGTCCCTACCATCAGAAGATAATGCTCATTTCTCTCTATCTCATGGTTTTTCCTACAGTGACCTCAGAGAGGAGATACCTAAGTAAAGCCTGGCCGCCTTCCTTCAAAGCAAAACAAAACAACAACAACAAAAAACTGAATAATTACTATCCCAACTCCAGGCATCCTGTGGATGTATGGAGGCTTTTTCTGCCAGTGGCAGCTGGTTGGGGCCAGACTACCAGTGATCAAATCTGACATCATCATCTCTCAATGCTACGAGCTGGGTACATTGTTTAACTACTCTGTCCTTCATTTCCTC